AAAAAAAAAAAAAAAAAAAAAAAAAATGCAAATTACCAATATTAGCCATCACTACAGATATTACAAATTAAAATAATATTTTGAATAACTTTATGCCAAGAAATTAAACAATTTAGATGAAATGGAGAAACGTTTTGAAAAATACAAACTGTTAAAGATCACACAAGAAGAACTATAACCTGAATAGCCCCTGTTTCTGAAAGAAATTAAAGTCATAGTTAAAAGCCTTTCCACAGAGAAAGCTCTAGGCCCAGGTGGCTTCGCGTTTTAATTCTACCAAACATTTAAGGAAGTTACCAGTTTTACATAAATTCTTTCAGAAGATAGAAGAGAGGAAACATCTCTGACCCCAAAGAAATATCTAAAGAATCTAAAAAGTGGCCAGGCGCGGTGGCTCACACCTGTAATCCTAGCACTTTGGGAGGCCAAGGTGGGTGGATCACCTGAGGTCAGGAGTTCAAGACCAGCCTGGCCATCATGGTGAAACCACATCTTTAAAAAAAAAAAAAAAAAAAATTTAAAAGAATCTAAAAAGTAAGTTGCTACCTTACTATAACTAAAAAGTTGTAGAGCATTTAGTGAAATGATAGGATACAAGGTCAATGTAGAAAGATTAAGTGTATTTCTATGCCCTAGCCACAAACAATTAGAAGTTAAAATTAAAGTATACCTCACTTCAGCTGATTAAAAACAAAAGAGTTTGAAGTTTAAAATTAGACTGCTTGGGGTAGAGCACGGTGGCTCAATCCTAGCACTTTGGAAGACCAAGGCAGGTGGATCATGAAGTCAGGAGTTCGATGAGGTCAGGAGTTCAAGACCAACCTGGCCAACACAGTGAAACCCCATCTCTACTAAAGATACAAAAAATTAGGCTGGGCGCAGTGGCTTACACCTGTAATCCCAAAACTTTGGGAGGCCGAGGCGGGTGGATCACAAGATCAAGAGATCGAGATCATCCTGGCCAACATGGTGAAACCCGATCTCTACTAAAAATACAAAAATTAGCCAGTCATCGGCAGGAGCGGCCGGGTGGCGGTAGGAACCATTACAGGAACTGAAGCTGCCGATTAAGTCTGAGCAAGATGACAACCTCCCAAAAGCACCCAGACTTCGTGGCAGAGCCCATGGGGGAAAAGCCAGTGGGGAGCCTGGCCGGGATTGGTGAAGTCCTGGGCAAGAAGCTGGAGGAAAGGGACTTTGACAAGGCCTATGTTGTCCTTCGCCAGTTTTTGGTGCTAAAGAAAGATGAAGATCTCTTCCGGGAATGGCTGAAGGACACTTGTGGCGCCAACGCCAAGCAGTCCCGGGACTGCTTTGGATGCCTTCGGGAGTGGTGCGACACCTTCTTGTGATGCTCTCTGGGAAGCTGTCAATCCCCAGCCCTCATCCAGAGTTTGCAGCCGAGTAGGGACTCCTCCCCTGTCCGCTACAAAGGAAAAGATTGCTATTGTCCTACTCACCTCTGACGTACTCCAGGGTCTTTGGGAGTTTTCTCCCCTAACCATTTTAACTTTTTTGGATTCTCGCTCTTGCATGCCTCCCTATTCCTTTTTCCCTTGCCAGTTCCCTGGTGACAGTTACTGGCTTTCCTGGATGGATTCCTGGCCCTATCCCTCACCCCCATCCTCACTTTCAGTCCGTATGATGCCATTTGGCTCCTTTTTTGGCAGAACAGCCACTGTCGTTGTAAAGTTTTTTAGATCAATAAAGTCAGTGGCTTTCAAAAAAAAAAAAAAAAATTAGTCATGGTTGCACATGCCTGTAGTCCCAACTACTCGGGAGGCTAAGGCAGGAAAATCACCTGAACCTGGAAGGCGGAGGTTGCAGTGACCTGAGGTCACGCCACTGCACTCTAGCCTGGTAACAGAGGGAGACTCTGTCTGGAAAAGAAAAAGATACAAAAAATTAGGCATGGTGGTGTGGGCCTGTGATTCCAGCTGCTCGGGAGGCTGAGGTAGGAGAATCTCTTGAACCCAGGAGGCAGAGGTTGCAATGAGCTGAGATCGCACCACTGCACTCCAGCCTGGGCAAGACTCCATCTCAAAAAAAAAAACCATTAGACTGCTTGAGTATAAATTGGAGCCCTGTCACTGAGTAGATGCGCTGATCTTCAATAAATTTTTTTTTTTCGACACGGAGTCTTGCTCTGTCACCCACGCTAGAGTGCAGTGGCGCAATGTTGGCCCACTGCAACCTCTGCCTCCTGGGTTCTAGGGATTCTCCTGCCTCAGCCTCCTGAGTAGCTGGAATTACAGGCTCATGCCACCATGCACGGCTCATTTTTTGTATTTTTAGTAGAGATGGAGCTTCACCGTTTTAGCTAGGATGGTCTCAATCTCCTGACCTCGTGATCCTCCCATCTCAGCCTCCCAAAGTGCTGGGATTACAGGCATGAGCAGCTGTACCTGGCCATGTTCAATACATTTTTAAATTTCTGTGCTTTGGTCTCATTGTTTTATTTTTCTTTTTTGTTTTGTGGAGACTGAGTCTCACTCTGTTACGCAGGCTGCTGTGCAGTGATGCAATCTCAGTTCACTGCAACCCCCGCCTCCCGGGTTCAAGCAATTCTTGTGCCTCAGCCTCCCGAGTAGCTGGGATTACAGGTGTGTGCTACCATGCCCAGCTAATGTTTTGTATTTTTAGTAGAGACAGGGTTTCGCTATGTTAGCCAGGATGGTCTTGATCTCCTGACTTCATGATTTGTCCGCCTCGGCCTCCCAAAGTGCTGGGGTTACAGGTATGAGCCACCGTGCCTGGCCACCATTTTATAAATAATCGTATATTCACACCTTTGCAGAGTTTGCAAAAAAACATATACAGAAAGCCTTGATAGTTCAATGCCTGCCATAGAGTAATCAGTATTAGTGGTGAGGCCTCACAGAGGCCTCATAGCCTGCTCAGGTCAGGGGGATTGTTCCTTCTCTACCCCTGGCCCCCTTGTTTCTTTGTGTATCTGCTGGAGGTAGGAGAAGCAGATGTGCGCCCCCATTTTACAAACACAGGTAGAAGAAGTGCCTTGCCTAAGGCTAGGGTTGAATTCTGCCTTTACCTGTTTTGTCAGCAACACACTGGTGGAGAAGAGAGCTCTGGTGGGCACTGTTCTCTCAGGCAGGCTCAGAAGTGGGTGGGAACGTGGATACAGTTCCCACAGGGCTGTTTCTGCCACAGACATGGACGTCTCGCTGCCTAATGAAGTTCTATGCTGTGGTGGCCACCTCACCCGCATCTTGGGAGAGCCACAAGATTGCAGAGAGGATAGAACAGAGGATCCTGAACTCCAACCCTGTCATGGAAGCTTTTGGTGAGCTCGAGCTCCTTTGCGCAGTATCTCAGTCCCATTTCCTCTGGGGTTTTCCACCTTCCAGGGAGAGGGGCAGTTTTTCGAGATCCTCTCTTGGGTGGGGTTGGAGGATGAGTGCATCCTTCACTGCCTCAGATCCCCAACATGTTCCCTAGTACTAGTACTCAGCATCCTTCTAACAGAGGTAATGTCATTCAGTCCTCCTCTCCTCCTTCCAGCCTAGGCACACATAACAGTGGTGCTGGAGAAAGACCTGGTGGCTTAGCTTGTCAAATTCTTTCTTTTTTGTTTTTTTGAGATGGAGATTCGCTCTTTTAGCCCAGTGGCACGATCTGCAACCTCTGCCTCCCGGGTTCAAGCGATTCTCCTGCCTCAGCCTCCCGAGTAGCTGGGACTACAGGCACCACCATGCCCGACTAATTTTTAGTAGAGACGGGGTTTCTCCATGGTGGTCACACTAGTTTCGAACTCCCCACCTCAGCCACCCAAAGTGCTGGGATTACAACTGTTAGCCACCGCGCCTGGCCCAAATTCTTTCTATCCAGTTTCCTGATGGTTCAAAGAAGGGCGCTTGTCTAGGGATACAAGGCAATTAGTATTTGTGTTGGCACTGGAACCCAGATGTGCCTTCCTGTCTATAGTCAGTAATGATAGCTGATTGGTTTTGACCTTTCCCTTCAAAGAAGACAGTCCCTGACTACCTAGGCTTGTTCATTCCAATTTCTTGCCAGGAAGTTCTTCTAACTCCCCTGAATTCCACTTGCTAAAGAGGACCCATTTCTTAGTCCTGCCCCCTTGTAATATGAAAACCAACAAAGGGGCCTTTAGGTGACCTGAGCATAGGGACATGACCCCCAGAGACCTGCAGCCACTTTGGCTTATGAGGACTCTGCACACCCAGGGGAGTGGTACAAACATAGGTGTGATCCGTAGGGAATGCGTGTACGCTGAGGAATAACAACAGCAGTCGCTTTGGGAAGTTCATCCAGCTCCAGCTGAACAGGTAACAGCTGCTTTCATCCTGGCTGGTGGGAGGACTAGAGTGGGGAGGTCGAAAGTGGCTGGGGCAGTATCTGGCCTAGGACATCCCTATGGGCAAAACCCTGCTCTTCCTGCTGTGTGTTTTTACCTCAGGTGTGAATCCTGAGAGTGACCTTCACACCTGGAGAACTATAGCTCCTCTCCCCTTGGGGAGCCCTAGGGCAGTACGCTTATTCAGGCCTGTGTTCCTCCTGGCTTCTACCTTTGCTCAGGGACTTCTAGGTAAATTGCCACCTCTTTGGGCCATATCCCTGAACTTGAAGCTGGGACTTCGACTCCTGTCTTGGGGTGGGGCAAAGTGATGTGCAGAGGCCTTGGACCTGCCCACCTGAGCTAGATGCAGGGGAATATTCCAGGACACCCAAGGACATTCTGAGTGGTCCCCAGCCCTCAGTGCCCGTTGGCTAAGGAGAAGAGCTTGGCAGTTTGTTGCTAGGTGGCAGGCAATCTGGCACACCCAAATTGCCAGACGTGGCTATTGAATGAATGGGCAACTAATGGGCTCTGCCCGTATGTGCCCCGTGTGTGCCCCAGGACTCAGCAGATGGTTGGAGCCGCAGTCCAGACCTACCTCCTAGAGAAAACTCGAGTGGTCTGCCAGGCTTTCAGTGAGAGGAACTTCCACATCTTCTATCAGGTTTGTGCCAAATGGGACCCACAGCCCCCTAGATGCAGGGCAGGGGTGAGTCCGTGTCTTTCAACCCCCAACCCCCCAGAATGTCCATGCCTGGTTTCTTCACCTAGCTTCTGATAGAGCCACCACTTTCCTGCAGACTTCATGTGCATCACTTCTACCTCACACTGGGCCTTGGCTCCCAGCACAGTGTGGCCTGGGGGTATGTTTTACCTTCTCCATCAGACCAGAAGGTCCTGGAGGCTGGGACTATATCTCTACATTGGAAGCTGTGTCACCCTTATTCTATGGGCTCTCCTAGAATGGCATCTATCTCTAACAGAATAAGGGCTTCCCTAGAGTTTTGCCTCTTCCATCAGACTGGGAGTCCCCCAAGGCACAGATAGGGTGTCTCACTTGCTCTCAGAATCAGAGCATCCTTAGGTGATGCCTCCCAAGTCAAGACAAGGGTCTCCCCAGGCAGGACTTGTCCTTTCTTCACAGACTGCAGGTTTCCCCAGAGCAGGCTTCTTTTGCGTCAGGTTGGAGACATCCAGGCTATGTTTATGGCATCTTTCACCCGTGTACCTGTCCTGGGCTCTGCAGGGACCTCTGAGCCTTGTGATGTTGCTACCATCTCTCACTCTTATCCCAACCCCACGCCTATCCAGGCCTGGGCTTTTCTCGAATCTCCTACCCAGCCTCCCACCCACCCTTCTCCACAGATTTGCAAAGGAGCCAGTGAAGACGAGAGGCTCCAGTGGCACCTCCCTGAGGGAGCTGCCTTCTCCTGGCTGCCCAACCCAGAGAAGAGCTTAGAAGGTAGGGGGAGCCCCACCCAGCATCTTGTGCTGGCCCAGCATCACCCACCTACTCTGCACGGAGCCTGCCTCCCTCGCCCCTTGCTGCTGCGGCTGCCGACCTCTGGCTCTGACAGTGGGCTGTGACTTGGATTCTTTTTCAGAGGATTGTTTTGAGGTGACCAGAGAGGCCATGCTCCATTTGGGTATTGATACCCCTACCCAGAACAACATCTTTAAGGTCAGAAGAAAAGCTGCACCACTTACGTTTGGCAGGGATGATGGGCAGCCCCTTTCATAGAGCCCTGCCCTGGACTTGGAGTTGGTCTTTCCCTGAGCATCTAGGACTTTGGGCCCCTCTGTGCTGTCTGCAAGGAGTCAGCCACCTCTCTGCGCTGCTGAGTCTGGAGACCAGGTGGTGGGGTGGACGGGGCATAAGGAACAGTGCTGCGTACACAGCACTAGAGTACAGGATGCAGTAAGTGATCCATAGGGGCAAAAGCAAGATCCTGTGATTAGCAGATGAGAGAATGAGTGAGGCCACTCACTTGTTGAGCACATTAAAACTTACAAGTCAGGCTCACGCCTCTGAGCTCACTTGGTTTTTCTCAACAGTCCTCTGTGTGTGATTATTTCCCTTTATGCCTGAGAAAACCAGAGAGGTAAAGTGACGTGCCCAAGATCAGATACCACTAAGTGATACAGAGTACCAGACATAGTGATTCCAAATTCCCACCCTCTCTGTCTTCCCCCTACCCGTGCCCTGTCGTCCGCTGGAACATGAGGCTGACCCAGGTGAGCTGGGCTCCCCTCAGCCCCATTAGGGAGGCCTCCCATCTGTCTTTGCTGATAGAGCTGACTGCTTCCTCTCATCTTCCTCACCCTCTAGAGCAGCAGGACGGGGATAGATAGAATGGGCTGGCAGTCGAGACGGGGAGGTAGCAATACAGCAGTAAGTGACCCTCACCTCCAGATGGGGGCTGCTCAGGCACTGCCAGGTAAGAGCCTGACAGAAGGACAGCACCTGGGGACAAGCCCAGGATAAATGAACAACATTAGGAGTCAAAGCAGGAGTGCTTCAGGGGTGGCATGACCTGCCACAGTCCTTCTGCCCAGTGGGCATGGCAGTCTTCTGGAGCAAGTTGTGGCTGGAAGACCAGTAGCACATGGAGGTGTCCTGCCTGGGACCATATGGGAATGGCGGGTGGGGTCCCTGTGTCAGGTCTGAAGGTTGGTGTTTTGTTTGTTTTTGGTATTTTTAGTAGAGACGGGGTTTCACCATGTTGGCCAGGCTGGTTTGAACTTCTGACTTCAGGTGATCTATCCGCCTCAACCTCCCAGAATGCTCAGAGCCACCATGCCCAGCTGGGTCTGAGGGTTTTGAAGTTGCTGGGCCTTGGTGGGGCAAGGGGAGCTTCTGTCTATAGCCCCTGGGGGCTCATCTGTGTGGAACACTGAGTGCAAAGGCAAAGAAAGGGGCACCCACCGGACAGAGATCAAGGTCACAGTTCCTCCAGCAGGCTGGGCTCTAAGAAGCCTGGCAGTGTGAATGGGCTCGAGGAAGTAGAGCCAAGCCTCCATCAGGCACACAGAAGCAGCCCTGACCCGGCTACCAATCCATTCTTAGAGAGCAGGGGGCAGAGAGGTAGAGGGTGGGCAGGCATGAGGGCCCCACAGGCTGCCCCAGGAGGCATCTGAAGTCAGCCTGGATTCTCATCCATCGTTCCCCTCAGGAAGCATGTGTCCTCAGTCTCACCTGTAATAGGCAGTGGCGTAGTACCTACCTTACAGGTTGTTAAAAAGATGCAATGACGCGATGCACGTAACTTGTATAGAATTGTGCCTGGCAGAGATGGGCACACTTGGACCATGATCAGGAGCTGTCCTTCTGTTGTTGTGATTGTACTCGGCAGGAGAACAGTCCTTCCCAGAGTTGGCCCACCTCACACCCTCTCCTTCTCACGACCATCCTTTTCTTCCCCCCCAGGTCCTGGCTGGACTGCTGCACCTTGGCAATATCCAGTTTGCTCCCTCCGAGGATGAAGCCCAGCCCTGCCAGCCAATGGATGATGCCAAGTGTGAGGGGCAAGGGTGTGGGATAGGGCAGGCCCCATCAGGAAGATAGCCAGCCTTGCTGGGGTTGGGTGAAAGGCCAGATGGTGAGAAAATTGGAATCTAATGCCCTTAAGCCACCCACCATAGGGCCCGGCCCTGGATCATTTACTCCTCACTCATCTCTGGTGAGGCAGACGGTATCGTCCCCATCTTTAAAGATGAGAAAATGAGTTAGAGGTTTGTAAAGTGATTTGTCCCATATGTGGCAGCATGAACTGTACATGAAAGTGTTGGGTTTGAGTTTTGACTGCCACTTATGGAGTCCTTTGGTGAGTCACTTCACTTAGGTTTCTTCTGTCCAGTTCGGCAAGTCATGGTCCCGCTGTGATGACTTCACAGTGCCTCATGAAGAGGACTGGATGGAGACTGATTTGCCTAAGGAGAATTTGCCCCTCCTAGGCTCTGTCAGGATGGCAGCCTCGCTGCTGGGGCTTCAAGAGGATGTGCTGCTGAAGACAGTGCTGATTAGAACCATCAGGGCAGGCAGGCAGCAGCAGGTGTTCCGAAAGCCCTGCCCCCGAGCCGAATGTGACACCCGCAGAGACTGCCTGGCCAAACTGATCTACGCGAGGTGAGCAGTTATTCTGGCCTCTGCCCTCCCAACAAGTGCTCTTCCTGTTCGGGGTTGGACCAGACAACATCACACAATGGGCACAGGCCCAGGGTGGGGAATAAGACAGACTGGTTCCTCTCCCTGTTCCTCAAACCCCTGGACACAGCAGTCCATGGCTCCCAGGTTTTCCCCAAGCAGGGCCTGTGGCCTCTTTATGAGTGGGAAAGTTGCTACATTCCTGGCCAGGATTCAGCTCATTATTAAAGTTCAGGAGCCTGCTCTAGCCTCAGCAAGATGAAAAAACCCTGCTCAGCCCTCTGCTGGCGAGGCAGGCCCCAAAGGTGATCTGGAGCCCTTGCAGTTCCAGCTTCAGATTTTTGGGTGAATGGGCCCATCTGTCTCCCTGTGCCCTTGTACGTCACCTGGGAGTTTGATAGATTGTGGTAAAGCCAGAGGCTCAGCCCAAAGCATGTAGCACAGTGGTGGAGGTGGGGTCCTGGCCTTTTCTGGTAGGTTACATGGGTACCTCCACCCTCTGGCCATGTGGTTAAGGATGATTTCTCACCTTGAATTCTGAGATTCTTCGCTGGCCTTGTAAGGGCTTCAAGGGGCCCAGAATTCTCTGAAACTATGAGCCAGAATGGTGGTATGTGTATGCGTGTGCACATGGGACCTTGGGTACCTTTCTGGGGAGAGGGTCCCCTGCTTTTCATGAATACCACAAGAGCCTGAGAAGCTCTGCTGAGGGAACAAGATCCTCTGAGTTGAAAATGGCTTGGGTCATCTGGGCCCAAACTGAGTCCATTTCAGCAAGAGACTGCCTCAAAGCTAATATCAGTCACAATTTGAGTTCAGCCTTTGCCTACAAGTCACTACAAGATGAGCAGGTAAAGTGTGATGAACACAAATAGAGTGAGCTTCTGACCACAAGACATTTGCATAGCCCCTGTTGCAAAAAGAGCCAGTTTATTTACTGAAGTGAAAAAAAGTTGCAGAACAATTACTATAAGAAAAATTGTGAGGAAGAAACCCCTGTATAGTGTTGTACATGTCAGCGTGTTGTGTGGTAGCCTCTTCTTCTCTGGGCTGTGCCTGTTTCTAGAGTGGAGGATGCCATTGTTGACCTCCGGACTTGGGGCCCACTTGTGCAGGACTGCGTCAGGGGGTATGCTAGGGCCTTGAGCTCTGTGCTCCACAGGTAGAGTTTTGCAGGGGTGTTCAATGAACTCAGTTATTTACAAACCATACCCAGGCCCATCTGCCCCTTCCTAAGATACTAGCTAGGTCTCGAGCCATGTGACTTGGAAAATCCATTCCCTGCCCAGCCTAGGAGTTGAGCTGGTCCTGTGCTCAGTCTTCCCGGAAGGACATGCCAGGTTTGTGTGTACCTGGGAACATGCAGGTCCATAGCCTACATCTGTAGTAGGTCAAGAAGTGATGGGCTGGAAGCAGGAGGAGAGGATTTGGCTTTGACCTGTCAGACTCAGAATATAAGGCCCCCCAGGGCATAGCACCCCATGGGGGAGCAATTTTACCACCCCTTTGACTCAGCCTGACCCTCTCTCACCAGAGTCCACTCTCTTCCCCCAACAGGCTGTTTGACTGGCTGGTATCAGTGATCAACAGCAGCATCTGTGCAGACACCAACTCATGGACCGCCTTCATAGGTAGCAAGGGCTCACTGTGCTGGGGGCATTCCAGACAAAGGGCAATAAAGCCTTGGATGGAGTGGCAGGAGCCCTGGGTCCACCGTGTGGCTCTGGGCAGCTCCTTTCCCTTCTTTGTACTCATGTCTCATCTTCCATCTGCCTGCCAGTGTAGGGCAAGATCTCTGCTTTCCAGTACCCACATCTGAGCAGTCTGTAACTCTCCAGACAGACTTAACGTTGCCTTGTCTGAAGGAGCCCTTTTTCTCCCCGGAGACCCAACTCTAATTGCAGGAGAGTAGTGGGGAATAAGGGAAAGAGCTGGATTAGAAGGGACTTGGAGGCTTGGGACAGTGGCTCACACCTGTAATCCCACCATTTTGGGAGGCCAAAGCTGGAGGATCACTGGAGGCCAGGAGTTGGAGACCAGCCTGGGCAATATAGCAAGATCCCATCTCAGAAAAAAATTAGCCAGGCATGGTGCTGCATGCCTGTAATCCCAGCTACTCAGGAGACTGAAGTGGGAGGATCACTTGAGCCCAAGAGTTTGAGGCTGCAGTGAGCTGTGATCACGCCACTGCTCTCCAGCCTGGGCAACAGAGCAAGACTCTATCTCAGGGAAAAAAAGAAAAGGCGGGGGGGACATAACTGAGGGAGGTCAACACCATTGTAACTCTAGGTGGGACGGTCAGGTATAGGAGGAAATAAAGCTTAAAGGCATTTGCTCATGGAATGGTGGAATTGTAGCCATAGGTGGAAACCAATGCCCTCCAAACTAGATTTAACACAGAAAATATTCCCTGGGACCTGGTTTCCTCACAGGAGGGGCCTGTCAGGACCAGAGAATTCAGAATCAAAAATGGGCCTGATGCCCGGGGCTGTCTTCACGCCTCATTTGGGTTTCTTGCCTGCTCTGAGCTCTCCAGGGGAGTGGAGTAGAGATGGGAGCCACCTTGGGTAGAGGCTGGGGAAGGTATGTTCTGCCTACCGCGGATGTCATGCTCACTCAGCCTCATCCCCAGGCTGACAAGTATAAGGCATTGGCAGGGGCCCAGCCACCCTGGGTTCCTGTGGTCCCCTATCCCCCATCTGCTCCCTGCAGTGGCCCCATGGGTTCTCTGCCATCCTCCCAGGCCTGCTGGATGTGTATGGATTTGAGTCATTTCCCGACAACAGTCTGGAACAGTTATGTATCAACTACGCCAATGAGAAACTGCAGCAGCACTTTGTGGCTCACTACCTAAGGGCCCAGCAGGTAAGGGATGGGGTGAGCAGAGGTGGGTCCTTCTTTTGGATCCTGAATCCCTTCCTGACCTTCCAGTCCCAGCCCTGGTTCTGATCAGAAGCCTTTTGTTCCTTCTTATTTTATTTTTAATTGACAAATAATAATTGCACATACAGAGTACAATGTAACGTTTTGATATACTTCTGTTTCTTCTTTGATGCTGTTCTGGAATACGCTGTGGTACCGAGGCCAGCCATGGATGACCCCTCTGGACCTCAGACCACATCTGCCTTCTCCCACCCCACCCCACCCCACCCCACCTTGTTCTTTAGGAGGAATATGCAGCTGAGGATCTGGAGTGGTCATTTATCAGCTACCAGGACAACCAACCTTGTTTGGATCTCATTGAGGGGAGCCCCATCAGCATCTGCTCCCTCATAAATGAGGTGGGGAGGTCAGCTAATGAGCTGAGCACCAGAGTTGGCCTTTGGGTTTTCTGGGGCCTTGATGATTATCCTGTTCCCTCTCTATGCCTCTCTCTTCCCAATCTGCCAAATAGATCTGCTAACTGCTATATTTCCTCCCTGTTGAGGACACTATGCTGCCTGTGTGATGTCTGCTGCTATGTGGGCCACAGGGTGGGGACGGTGAGGGTTGTGGTGAGACACTCTAATTTCGGTGGCTGACCCCCTGCTCCCGTCCCACAGGAATGCCGCCTCAATCGACCAAGCAGCGCAGCCCAGCTCCAGACACGCATTGAGACTGCCCTGGCAGGCAGCCCCTGCCTGGGCCACAATAAGCTCAGCCGGGAACCCAGCTTCATCGTGGTGCATTATGCAGGACCTGTGCGGTACCTCACAGGGGGCCTGGTGGAGAAGAACAAGGTATGGGCTGGGCCATGCCCTGTGGGGCTTGTGAGAAACGAGATGCTGGACCTTTGCTATGCTGACATAGTCATTTCCCATCGTGAGTCCCTTCTCTCCTGACCTCTTCCCAGAATCCAGTATCACCTTCTTGGGCGAGGTCTCCACCAATCAAGCATGACCTGCCTGGAGATAACCCATGTTAGACAGGGTCTCCAGGTCTTTGGTCGTCCAGAAGACCTTTTCTCGGGCTCGGGCCCTGTCCTACCTGGAAGCCCTGTCATCTGTGGCTTGGGTGGGCAGTGGATGGCCCTGGGCAGAAGCTCCACCTGCCCTCACCTGCTGCCATTGCTATTTCCCAATAGGACCCCATCCCACCTGAGCTGACTGGGCTCCTGCAGCAATCCCAGGACCCCCTGCTCTTGGGGCTGTTTCCTACTAACCCCAAAGAGAAGACCCAGGAGGAACTCTCTGGCCAGAGCAGGGCCCCTGTATTGACCGTGGTGTCCAAGTTCAAGGTGGGTCTGATGTGCTGACGGGAGGTGCTTTGTTTACTCTGCAGTTTCACAAATATTTATTGAGCACCTGCCAGGATTGGTGCTGTTTGCTGGGGAGCGGTGGCAAGTAGATGTGGTCCCAGTCCCCATGGAGTTTATACTTCAGTGTGGAAGACAGAGCAGAAGTAGACAAATAGGCTATCAGCTATATAATATGATGGGAAGCCTAGGGGCCTTCTGATGGGGCACTCATGAGAGGATCAGCTACATGAGCCTCTTTGACCTGGCTCATACCCTGCTCTCTAGCTTCATGCTCAAGCCCTACCCTCACTTACTCCTCTCATGTTGTCTGCTTTCTACGGTCCCCTCAGCCCTTGCATGTACTGCCTCACCTTCCTGGGATACTCTTGACCAGTGCCCCATCAGCTCCAACTCACTCCCATCCTCCACACACCTTTTCCTAGTTTAGTCTTTCTCATCCTTCAGACTTCTATCACCACCTCCTTAAGGAGGCACCCTCGCAACCAGGTTTGATTCACACATTCCTACCCAGCCTCAGACACACCCCCAAGGGTGTTCATCCATGTGTAGCCCATTGGACTGAGCTCTGACACAGCAGCAGGCAGCCTGTGGCACAGCCTCCAGCACACAGGATGAGCTGAATAATAACAGTTGTTGCATGGATGAATGGCAGGGAGTTTTGAGATTGTTCTTGTTTAAGAAGATTGCTCTGGGGAGAAGTGGGGAAGGGAAGGAGGAGGAGATTGCATTCAGGGAGACCAGTCAGGGAGGGTCACAGGTTTAGGAGGGTCCCTGGAGGCAGAGGTAAGAAGCACGCATGGAAGCGGGAGAGGAATGTGCTCTGAGCCGGCTCATTGAGAGTCTGCAGTGCAGTCATCCCTGCATAGGAGATTCCTGGTCTCAGGGTACTGGAAGGGCCTGCTGGAAGCATTTGAGGTAGTTACTAACCAGAGCCCAGCTGATGGCCCAGGGCAACCTCTCTCCCTGCCTAACCCCAAGGTCTCTCATCTGCAGGCCTCCCTGGAGCAGCTCCTACACGTCCTACACAGCACCACACCCCACTACATTCGCTGCATCAAGCCCAACAGCCAGGGCCAGGTGCAGACCTTTGTCCAGGAGGAGGTAATTAACACTGGGCCAAAGCTGCTTTGCACCAAGCCCCATCTGGCCAAGGCCCTGGAGAAATGAAGGGCAGGACATCTACTCCAAATGGAGTGAACAGAGGTGGTCTCTCCAGCCAGACCTGACATGAGATCAGGCCCGTCTCCCTTGGTGTGGCAGGGCTGGTTGTGTGGTCCGTGCACAGTGGCCCAGCCAGGGAGGCAAGTTCCATTACATCTTGTTCTCTGAGCCATGTGCCCAGATGAGAGACCGAAGCTACCCAGAGGAATGGGTTTCTCTTGTGATTAGGTGAAAGTCTGCATCACCTTACAGTCCCGACACAGTGGGGAACTTGGAACCACCAGGGCGCTTTCTAGCAAGGAGATGATTTTTCAAGGTCCCTTGATTTCTCACTGCCCCAAAGAGATACCCCCATTAGCCAAGCATTGGGAGAATCTGCAGCAGCTCGGCACTGGCCAGGGCCTAAGAAGAAGGGCTGAGAGGCATGGCATTTCTGGCCTGCTGGCCCATGCTGCAGGTGCCTACCCTGTCCCCCCACCCTTGCAGGTCCTGAGCCAGCTGGAGGCCTGTGGCCTCGTGGAGACCATCCACATCAGTGCTGCTGGCTTCCCCATCCGGTGAGTGGGTTCAATCATGGCACAGGGCAGGGCCAGTGTGGGCTGGGGCTGGGGACACTCGCCGGGCAAGAGCCTGTTCAACCCAGAGCAAGATATGGAGATGAAGAGAAAGAGGCTGGCCTGTAGAAGTCAACCGGGAACTAGGGAGCAGCACTCATTCATTTATCCATTCACTTATTGTGCGCTGTTTTGTGCCCAGCTGATGGCTGTGACAAAAGCCACATTGGTACAGTGTTGGGGACAGAAGCCAGACTCAGGAGGGCTGACAGGCAATTGGGAGGAAGTACAGATATCAGGTGCTATCAGCTGTTTGAGAAGTGTTGCCTTGATGGGGGGCAGCGTGATGGAAAGGAAGTGGAGGAGACTGTGGGGTCAGAGGGGAGATATGGCCAAGCATGTCTTCGTCATAGGAGTGGTCCAGTTGTTTGGGCAGGGGCCTATCAGCCCCTTTGGAGGGAGGCAGCCCGCAAATCCCCTACTAGTTGCTTTGTGTTGGTAGACCAAGGCAGCAGGGAGAGCAGACCTATTTAAAATGGGTCTTTATGGGCTTCTGACTAAATGACTTTAGAAATTGCTCCAGAACCACATTCACATTCAATGGGGATACTCAGGGAGGGCAGCACCTTGCTGTGTTGTTGAGCAGATTAAACAGAAGAACTTCTGTTGATCCTCGAGCCATGTACCTGGCTCACAATGAAGTCATTCTCTCCTTCTGCCTGCTTTGGCTTCCAGGGTCTCTCACCAAAACTTTGTAGAACGATACAAGTTACTGAGAAGGCTTCGTCCTCACACATCCTCTGGCCCCCACAGCCCATATCCTGCCAAAGGGCTCCCTGGTGAGTGAGACCCATGTGTTAGTCATTTGTTCAGCCACAGTGTACTGAGCATCTACCCTGTGCCCTATGTCAGGGCTAGAGGCTGGGGCTTACTGGTGAATAAAACACAGCCCTGGTTTTGGTTCAGTGGGGGAAACAGTTTCAAAAAAGACAAATGGCATGAAAAGTGGAAAGGCAGAACTATGAACAGGGTGCTGTGGATGTGCTGGGGGAGGTATGAATCAGGGAAGGCTTCCTGGAGGAGGTAGTATGTGAGAATAAATTGGATTAGCCAGGTGATGGGTGTTCCACATGACAGGTGTAATCTGAACAAAGGCTTGAAGCAGTAGTGTGGGTATGAGGAACTCCAGGCCATTCCATGTTCCTGGCTCATTGAGGCAGAGATCTGGGGGAGGTGAGGCTGGAGTGGCAGGTAGGCCCCGTCAAGGAATCTGGACTTTATTTTCTGGGCAGGTGAGCAGGCACTGCAGGGGAGGGAGCAAATGACTCTATCAGCTTTATGCTTTCTGGAGACCACTCTGGGGGCCCCGTGGAGGGCTGTGAGGGTGAGACTGCAAAGTTGCCCCCATAGAGGGAAATGAGAAATGTGGGCAGTCAGGAAATGTTTGGAAGAAACTGCTCAGTCTTGGGTAGGGGCTTGACTAGGTATAGAGGGAGAGGAAAGGATAAATTAACTTAGCCTGGGCAGTGGGTAAAAGCAAGAGGAAGAGAGGTTCAGGGAGGCTGAAGAGCCCTGGAGTGGGTGGCTTGACCTGCAGGTCCAGCGGAGAAGTCTGCAAGGCACTTGGGCAGGCTTTAGTCTCAAGGGAAAGATCTGGGCTGTGGCCCTCATGTGGGGGTTGTCAGCATGTAGATATAACTGAGGCCATGGGGACCACAGGGCCCAGACACAGGCAGAGGGAGAACAGGCCAAGGACAGGCTGCCGGGGAGCCCTGCCTCGGCAGGACCCCAGCCCAGCACCGCTGCCCCTCATACCCAGCCTTATCCTGGGCCCCTCACAGGCTGTTTAGGAAATATTGCTTTGTTTCCTCCCATCCTGGGCAGTTTTCACTTTCCTTTCACCCTTTCTCCTTTCTTCTCCTTCTTCATGATTTGCTGTCCTGTTCCATGTCTCTTGCCCAAAGCTCTTCTGGCCCCTGATTGATTTTGCTGCTGTTTCTCATCTGTGGTGTCTCCTTTGGCAGCCTTTGTCTCCAGAGAGGCACTGGGCAGCTAAGGTGGTCAGAGCCCTCAGGTAAATCCTCCTCTCCAGGAGTCAGCCCTGCAAGCTGTGGGAGGGCAGGCAGTGGGACACGGGACCTTTGCAGGGCTGGGGTTTTTAAATTCACTTTTAGATGAATTATTTATTCTTTTTATTTGCAATAGAAAATTCCCAAACTAAGGGCTGAGATTGGATCTCCCTTTTCCCATACGTGGCGGGGAGTGAGGGGCTGGGGCTGTGCGAGTGACCCAGCTGTCCTGTTTGGCTCTCAGGATGCGTGTCTTGGGGCCTTGGAAACAAATGCTGGCTGAGCAGCCTGGGATTCAAGCTTGGAGGGAGTCACCCTTCCAGGTGTCAGGTACTCTCCGCCAGCCTGCCCAAAGGCAGTAGAGGCTGTGGGACGCCTGAGGACACACCCAAGTGGGTATTCCAAGGCTCCACAGAACAGCCAGGGCCCTGAGGGACAATAGAGGGGCTGCTTGTGGCTTCCTCCAAAAGACAAATGAGGAAGAAAGGGCTAGAGCAAGAACAGCAGGAAAGAGACCTGTAGAGTGCTAGGGAGGCCAAGCCAGTTTCTTCAGGCCACAGAGGCTTGTAGAGATGACCACGCACTGATGGGGCCATCTTCCTCCCACAGAATGGTGTCCACATGCCAAGGAAGCCACACTTGAACCTCTTCTCCAGGACATTCTTCACACTCTGCCGTTCCTAACTCAGACCAAAGCCACACCTGGTGACTTGGCCGAGGCCATGCCAACCCCAGTGCACTGTGGCAGGACCAAGGTGTTCATGACTGACTCCATGGTGAGCTTGTTTGAGGATGAGGAGTTTACAGAGGCCAGCTCTGTGCTCTCCTCAGCAGGACAGGGCAGGGGGAGGAGAGGCTGCCCTCAGTGGATGCCCTTTCTCCTAGCTGGAGCTTCTGGAATGTGGGCGTGCCCAGGTGCTGGAGCAGTGTGCCCGCTGCATCCAGAGTGGCTGGAGGAGACACCGGCAGCGGAAGCAGGAGCGGCAGCGGCGGGCCGCCGTACTCATCCAGGCAGGTAGGTGGGCAGGCCGCCCGTCAGCACTGTACACACACCCCACAGGATGGTGGTTTCCTTTGAAACATGGCTCGTTGAGTCCCCATCTCCTGAAGCTGACTGTCCCAGCCTGAAGAGATGACACATCCTTATGGTGCGCTGGGATTCAAATTCCTTGTCCCCCTCAGCCATCATGTCTCTCCAGTTCAACAGAAACCAAGTTACTCCACAAAGGTGCTCTTTAAGAAGTGGAGGCTAAAAGTTGTCTTTAGTTCCTCTTTCTCAGACCCTGACAGCTGTTTAGGTCAACTTTTTTTTTCCCCTTTATGACAACTCAAACCATTACCTACTGGGCTCTAGGGCTGGGATGAATTTAAAGAGAAGGTTAAAACCAAAGGAGTTCATCAAATGAAAAGATGCTTTAACCAACATGTTCATAGCAGTCTTATTTTGAAAAAGTGTTAGAACCCAAATATCTAACAATGGTGAAGTCATGGCCAAATTATGGACCGTCCCTATGATGCAGCTAAGTGTTTTTGAAGAATATTATAAAGTTAATGGAGAACCATTTCCAAAATGATATTTATGCCTAGATGCCAAACCACATATTAAGGGTGATGCCATCCTTGTAAGGTGTGTTTCTGTGTGTGTAGGCATTTAAAAAATTGTATAAGGAAGCTGGGTGTAGTAGTTAATCCCAGCACTTTGGGAGGCCGAGGTGGGAGGATCACTTGAGCCCAGGAATTCGAGAGGAGCCTAGGCAACAGGGGGAGGCTCATTTCTACCAAAAAAAAAAAAAGGCTGCCATGGCGGCTCACGGCTGTAATCGCAGCACTTTGGGAGGCCAAGGCGGGCAGATCACCTGAGGTCAGGAGTTCGAGACCCGCCTGGTCAACATGGCAAAATCCTGTCTCTACTAAAAATACAAAAAACTAGCTGGATGTGGTAGTACGCACCTATAATCCCAGCTACTCAGGAGGCTGAGGCAGGAGAATCACCTCAACCCAGGAGGCAGAGGTTGCAGTGAGTTGAGATTGCACCACTGCACTCCAGCCTGGATGACACAGCAAGACTATGTCAAAAAATAAATTAAAATGGGCCAGGCGCTGTGGCTCACGCCTGTAATCCCAGCACTTTGGGAGGCCATGGCGGGCGGATCACATGAGGTCAGGAGTTCGAGACTAGCCTCACCAACATGGAGAAACCCCATCTCTACTAATAATACAAAAAATAGCTGGTCATGGTGACATATGCATATAATCCCAGCAACTCGAGAGACAGAGGTTGCAGTGAGCTGAGACCATGCCATTGCACTCCAGCCTGGGCAACAAGCAAAACTCCATCTCAAATAAATAAATAAATAAATATAATTTTAAAAAATGGCCAGGTGTGGTGCCTGAAATCCCAGCATTTTGGGAGGCTGAGGCAGGCGGATTACCTTAGGTCAGGAGTTCGAGACCAGCCTGACCAACATGGAGAAACCCTGTCTCTACTAAAAATACAAAAAATTGGCCGGGCATGATGGTGCATGCCTGTAGTCCCAGCTACTCAGGAGGCTGAGTCAGGAGAATTGCTTGAACCCAGGAGGCAGAGGTTATGGTGAGCCAAGATCGTGCCATTGCACTCCAGCCTGGGCAACAAGATCAAAACTTGTCTTAAAAAAAAATAATTAAAAACATAGGCTGGGCACAGTGGTTTACGCCAGTAAACTGTTCATGCCATTTCACTCCAGCCTGGGCAACAGTGAGACCCTGTCTCAAAAAAGAACAAAACGAAACAAAGAATATGCTGAAATTGTAGAGAAGGGAATAAAATTACCATCATTTTATTAATTGTATCAGTTTTTGGGTATGTAGTAGTGCGAGATGAGATCAGGAATGCATAAAGCAAACAAATTTAACCGAGGATTTAAAAAAAAAAATTTTTTTTTTACTTTTTTTTTTTTTTTTTTTT